TAAAAATAGGGACCTCTGGAAGGCCAGAAATGGCACTCTACAACTGTGAAAAACATGTTTTGGCTTGGTGCAGGCCTATTTTTAAATCTTTTTTTTTTGGTACGACAGCCCGACGAGGCTCGGTCGGTGGGGGCGATTGACTCGTCCAACGGGGGCTTAACAATGGGGGATTTAATACAGTGTTCAGAAGTAAAATAGAGAGCTATAAAATGGTAAAAGAATAACTTAAATCTAACATTTCCTTAAGAAGCGTTTAAATATACAGCTATCTAAAAAACAATATTTGACAAATCAGCCTTTTAAAGTTTATGATTTCGGGCATTTCACAGGCAGAAACCATCACCAAATCGTTAAAATTGTTGTTTTAACTTTGAAAATGGGGAAAATAATAGCATAGCATGATGTATAGATATATAAAAGTTAGTTTAGTGCAATAAAATGGATTTTAAAAAATTTGACATTCCAGTATGTTTTGGCCAATATCTCTGAAACAGGATTTGCAACAAGTGACTGGTTTGGCTTGTCTTTGCCACATTTTGAGACTTTGTAAAATATTTTAACTTTAAATAAATGTCTGACTTTTAATATTTTGTCAATAACATGTACATTTATCGCAATACCAATATCCATTATCATTAATATTATCATCAGAATTATCACAACTACTGTAACTTACAATATCTTGTTCATAACTCACCTACTGTGTTCAAACCTTTCTCAATGACAGACGAGAAAGAGTGAACTTTAACCCCATTGTCGAAATCTGTACTTCTTATCTTTTTCAGTTGGTCTTCCATGTAGATAATGTTTGTAACATTAGGGATGTCTTTTTTAATTGCCTGCATGAAAAAAAATACAAAGATGCACAACATTTTTTACAAATGATTTGTAAGCTAGAGATGAGAAGAGGGGAAAATAAATTAAACGCTTAATTCTTTCATCTTGTGCTAGGTACAAATTGGGTATGCATGTTTACTTTTTTATGTATACTTTATGATCAGTGTGAATACCATATGCTGTGATAAAAATTATTATGCTTTTGAAATACCAAGTGACATATGGTACAAATCTCAATCAATGGTATTTGGTGCTGAGAAGATCATTTCGATTGTAATTTTTATTTGTAAAATATAAACACAAATAATGTAAGCATTTATGGCCAAGAAATTTGCCAAAAGATGACACATAAATCAGCAGGGTCAAAACTACCACTGGAAAAAAAACCCAAAAAATGTTCACAAGATGACATCAGTATTTAGGGTGTTCCATCAACTGATGTCAGGATAAAATTACTCTCTTGATTTGAATTTTCTTTTACAAAAAAATTTTGTATTCCCATACATAGTCATGATGTGCCTATATATGGTCATGATGTGATGTCATCATGACCATATTTAGGCATGTCACATGTTTTTGTCAAATATAATTATCTGATAGGACTTGAATTGAGAAATAAGGATTTTAATAGGATTTGAACCCAGGTCTACGGTATCTGAAGGTAAGCACCGTCATCATAGCCACTAACCTACTTGCTGTGTGGTTTTCTCCTGTAAATTTCAAATGCAAGATATTAAGCTATGCTATTTTTCACTTTCAATGTTAATATCTTTTCAAACATATTTTCTGAAGAATACTTAAATAAAATATTCCATTCACAAATATTTGACTTATTATCATTTTAAAATGTAAAACGAAATCTTAACTCCTTGTTGTCACTCATTACTCTCACTCTCTTTACCAATTATTTTCCCATAACTTCTGTAGTAAATATAGGATATGATTCCATAGTGATGGAATGATTCTATTGTGATGGAATAATTTCATGGTTACGGAATGACTCAAATGGACAAAAAAAATCTAGTTTAGAAATGTTGCAGAGGTAGATGTTTCAAGCAAATGCCAGATCAATTGGCCATTTACTATTAATAGTAACCATAATAGAGAACTCAATATTATAATTTCAGTTTGGCATGTATTCAACATTTAAGATGAGATATTAATAGTACTTCATTTAGCAGGCGTATGATTTTGTTTCACTTTCATACATCATCAGAGAATATTTGTTTTTTCTTATCGTACTGTACTCTCTAAAGTATAATGGAAACTAAAAATAAGAATAGAGAATGAATGAGACACCAAACATTAAAGCACTACTCATTAAAACCACCTTTTTTTCAAAGAAAGTATTAAAAAATCATTTTTGCAAATACTATACCCAGCAACTATAAAGTAATTGTGTTGACACATTAATCAAATTTTGCTCTTTATTCAACATTCCCTATTTCGATACATCAAATCATCCATAAATTTGCTATGGTAACCTTCCTATGGTAACATCATCATCACCATCATGATCATGAAAACAAAAGATGTACTATTAATAAATGTTTTCCTTTAAAATCTGTTAATCAGAATTCCCTACTTTTTTACCGAGATTTTAAGTGCAGCAATCAATTTGCATTGATGTCATCACATCACAGGTTGCCATGGTAACTTTCCATAGCAGCATCACCATCACCAAGCATAATGAGATTATATAATGTATACAAAATAATTTGCCATTTAAATATATAAATAAATAATTATATTGTAATTATATGGGCCTGTTTTCACTGCCATACTGTAGGATATTATCATAATCTTGAAAGAACTGTTCCTAGAAATCATTTCGATTTTATGGCAAAATTAATTTGTGCTATGTACCCAAATATGGGCATGGTGATGTCATATTACACCCAAATATGGGTATATCACACTTATTTGTCAAATTTTATAGTGTGGGTATTTCCACCGAAAAGCAAGAAACAGATCTCTTATCATTAGTTAGTAATTGCATTTATCTAGAATAAGAAAACCGCACCACAAGAAATTGTTGTTGACCTACTGGACACAGCATTGCTTCCATGCCTTTTCGGCACAGTAAACTTGACTCTTTTATGGGCCCATTCCCACTGCCACAGGAAATTGTTCTTCGAGAGAACCATTACTAGAAATTGTTTTCCTTTCCAGTAGAAACACACCCTATAAATGCAAGGCTGGACTCCACATAACTAAATTCACTTCACTGAGGAGCAGGAAGCAATGCTTTTTTTTTTTAAATAAAAAGTGCACTGATATGTTACTCAAAGTGAAAGCATATTGTTACGACACTTGACTCAAAATTAATTTAGTAAGTATAGTATAGTGACACTTGACTCAAAATTAAGTTAGTAAGTATAGTATAGTTTCAAAACATTTCTATGGATTGATAATCCCATGTTCAAAATTCCTCAAGGACAAGTGAATGTCGTATGACAACTAATCTAATAGTTGACCTTTTACCTAGGGGACCTGTTGACATTTGTGCATACAAACATGAAGCGAAACAGCAAACATAAATACAGTAAGACCCTGTCGTCCGTGTGGCACCAGTGTGCAAAGGGAGATTTCTACTTGTTAGACAAGCATAGACCCTCTGTTGCCTGATGGCACTTGAGGTTGTCTGACTAAAGATATTTATTTTCCAATCGAAAGTTTTGAAATTGATACAGTATTTCTGACATTATGGTCTAAAAGATCAATTTTTACTATCATAATCATATAACATAAAAAATTATTATTCTTTTGATTCCAACCAGAGGTTTTAATCTGGGTCCTGACTGGAGGCCCTACTGTAAGAGACTCCTGGTTTGGGCCCACTAATGTCACATTTTACAGCCACTGCTGGTTGTTTTCCCGCAAGTCTGAAACTCTACATTTGATTGCTTTAAATTCCATAGGAAATTACCACAAAACAACTGTTTTTATTTGTAATTAATAATTGCTTGTGAACGATACCACTAGTATATTTAATCATTCACATTTTTTTATTTTTTTATAGTCTATAATCTAAATGTTAGTATATTTCTTCTACAACTGAAAGCTTCAAAAACAAAAACAGAAAAAATCCCTGAATTTTGACTCTATTGAACTTATAATATGTGTAAGTAAATGTTACTGTCATTTGGCTAAGTCAGCTTTTAGATGGAGGGATTTGTACAGTACATTAATCAAAAAGCCAAGTGTCAATGCAATGCTTTAAATAAATGTATACAGATTTGAACAAAGAAATCACTGTATTACAAAATAGTAGTGTACAGTACTAAGCCTATATGAGTAAATTTTTAAAGTTACAATTTAACAAGTAATTTTGTAGGCTTTGTATCATATTCCCATGCATTGATATCATATCCAACATTTTCAGATTGATCTTGATTGTTCATATGGTAAACACACCTCGCTAGGGGTCACTGGGGAACAAGTTACAGCAATACGGGGTGAGATGTAACAAAAATACACTACTTGAGGAGAATAAGCCTATTATTTCATAAGTGCGCTCAGGAATTGAGTTATTACAAGAGATGAAATATGGGCTGGTTTATTATATGTCATAAATAAATGATAAAGAGAAATCAACTTCACTGAATGTATGTGGCTACAGGTCTTTGATACAACCAAAATCACTGTACAAAATAATAATCAACAGTGGCCTTTACTCTCTTTAACCTACTGTACCTTCAACACTAAAAACAGATAACAGGATAGTAAACCCACAAAGTCTACTATCAACATAGCACTCTTATCCAGGTCAAAAGAATGAGCATTACCTTCAAACAGGTAAACTTAACCTTTAGCAACTTTTACACAGAACACACCATATCTTCTATATTTGTGGGATATAAACTTGGGATTTAAACCAATTCAAGACCCCACTAATTCAGCAGACCACTTTTTACCAAAATACCAAATAAAAATATTCAATATTTGAACACAAAGCTAATCATCTCATTGGAGACCACACTCAGAGACCACTGCGCAATTTGAAGTCGAAAAAGGTGGTAACAATTTAAACCTAAAGGGCCTAACATTATCTAAATCTGTAGTAAGTTGACAATGTATGAATGTGGCAGGGATAGTATTTTTTTTTTTTTTTTTATGGAAAACTATTGAGCCTTTTTACAAAGTTAATGAAATGCATTCATTATGAACCAATCAAGTAAATTAATTTATTTTAGAACTTGCAGGTAAGGATTTGTATTACAAGGTGAAGGTAGCGAAATGTATACTCCTGACATAGTAGTATACAGAATGCTGTTTGGTCTATTTAATTTAATGAATCAAAATACTATTAAGTTGTATTGTCATGCTATATTAACACTCTAACCGCCAAAGGTTTGAAAAAATAGTATCGGCCACCGCCAGACTTTTTAGCAAATTTTAACACTTTTCCGAAGCTCGTTGAGAGTGTGTATGTCATTAGATTGACACGTAGTGAATACTAGAAGAACTACAAACAATTTAGCTTTACAATGATACCAAACACTTTATTCTAATCACAATCTGTGACCCGTAACAGCAAAATGGAAATTACTCACTTTTGAAGATTTACGCAATTTCACACAACAAAGCTGAGATAATGCGATTTCGTAAAAGTAAATCAATACCACTTTATGCTATGTAAACAAACAAATAGTGAAATACTTACGGTCCAGACTGAATATAGTGTTCAAATTGTTAGTACATGTCTGTAATTACCCCATCTATCGGATTCCGTAAAAAAACCTGAAAAATGGAGATCTTCGTGTTTGGCAGTCAAGCGTTGCGGGGCAGTGTTAATCTAATATTGTTATATTAATAATTACGTAAGTGTGTACCATTAAAGTGTATTTGATGTTGGTGTTTTAGCATAAATTTCTTTTGTTTGATGTCTTGTATTGTTCTCCCATAACAATATAGTTATCCCAACTTGGAATTTTTGTTAATCAATTTTATACATTGTATACAGTATATTTTTGTTATGTTTAAACTGTATCACTTTGAA